CGCACACACACACACACCCCTACTGGTGCAGGTGAACTGTAAGGACAATTTGTCTGTACCAGTCACAGTGGTGAATTATGGGAGCACCCCTTTCCACTTGTTCTACAGACCGGCTGAATGTGTCAAAAAATCTTTTATGAGCCACTCAACTAAGATCTCAGTTAAAATTGTGTATACACACTACAGAACTCTAAATATAATGACCTGACTTTATGCAACATTAACAGGACATTGATAATTAGATAGATAAGCCACGCCCCTGACATAACAGTACATTATAAGCACCAATGAGAATTGCAAGGACATTTAAAATAAGACTTCATAGAATGTCCCTAAAATATATTAAAGTACCCAAATGAACATCAAATGGATTAATTCACACCCTGCAATTATGGTAGTGTTCATTTGTCATGAGCACAGGCACAGACTAAATCTGTCCAAATATGAAAAAAATAATAATCAAATAGAAATATGGTCAGCAATATAGTGCTTGTTCATTACCAATGTGGTAATGTTTACCTATACAAATTAATTTGTATAGGTCTATTTTAATTTGTATAGGTCTATAGAACAAATAAACGACATTGTCTTTTGCAATTTTTATTTTTTGGAGCAAACCAAAACACAGGCTCTTATCAAGCTTAGTTTTTCAAAACAGTTTGACTAAAACCTTTAAACCCAAGTTCTTCTAGGTACCACACAATACACATGACTCAACAAAACAAAACATCCTACTTAAAGATATTCAAAAGCAAACAGATCTTTCTTTGAAGCAGGTCTTAAGAACACTATTCTACTCAAATTTTAAGCCTGAAGTCTTTTCAAATTAAGTGATCACCAAAGAGCTCTACAAAAGCATTGTGCCTAATTTCAACTAAAGGTGAAGCTCAACTTAAAAAAAAAGAAATAAAAAGACAAACAAATTGTGATACCTTTAAGCAAACATATTACTAGAACAATTTTTGCCTTTTCAACAAACTGAAAATCAAATCTTCTGAATTACTTTGAAAATGATTAAGAGTTCAAGTTTTGTTGAGTCTACTCACACATCAATCTTGGACCAACTTAGAAATCAGAGCACATTATAGAAAACTACTCCAAAAATAAGCAAGCAAACAAAACCAAAAAAAGGTGAAGCTTAAAAACAAAACATCTTTTCCTGTAAATGTTACTTTTAACAGCACATGATCTCTAATACAATGACCGGTTTATACTACCTAAGAGGTGAACTTCGGGGTTTTTAATTTTTTAAACAAAAGAATGCTTGAAAGTTCTTAAGGTTTTGTTTAGAGCATCTTGGCTCAAAATTTATCTGACATTTTTAGCTTTTTTTTTTTCTTTTTAGTCACGCCACGATTTCTAACAAAGTCTCTTATGTTCTGAAGTGAGCGATTTATTAATGCAGGATGTTCTGCCTGTTGACATTGTTGAATTTCAACAAAACTTGCCAGCTTCCCAGTGTCAATGTGTTTCTGAAAATGTTTCAACACCGCTGCAATTTCTGTAGGAGACCAGGGCCATTTTTGATTTCTCTGAGGATGGTCCTTTTCAGGATAATCTACAAACAAGAGAGACAATTTTACTTTTTAAAATATAAATCATATGTGGGAGTGTGCTATAAAAGTATGCTTGTGATAAAGTTTTACATTCCAGTTCTGTTTATTGTGTCCATTGAAGAGAACCCTTTGACAATTTGATTTCTCAATGTGCATTTAGTCACCACATGAATCAAATATGTATCCACCTAAAATTATTTTTCTCCAATTTTTTTATTATTAAATTGATTACCAAGTTGTGAAACACTGCATTTATTACACATAGAAATCAAGAAGCTACAACCCTGGTGTGTCAAATATAAACTATCACTCAAAGCTTCATTTTATATTACACTGCAAGCTTTATTACCTGTTACAGAACAAGGTCATGCTTGTCATGATTCATATTCTGTCCTGTCGATTCTGTGTTTAAGCAGTGTATTACTTGTTCATAATCAGCAACTAACTTTGTAAGATTGTTTCAGCCTTATTTTTTTTTAAAAATGTACAGACCCAACCACTTCTCTGTATGTTTCTTACTGGGCTTTTTAAAGCTCAGGATAATACTCAATTCTTGTAACATGTTATGATGAGCCTTAAGTCAGAATCTCTAAACCTTACCACTAAATAAAGAACCACCATGAATAGGAAGACAGCCATACCATCTTGGGGTTCTGAGGGTTTTTCAGTTGGTGGAATAATCTCCTTTTCCTTTCCTGCAATAGATTAGTAATACTTCAGGCCAACAAAATAAAAAATACAAAATTTCAAATCAGTTACTAAATATCCAGTGAAAGGTTAATTGAAATAAGTCATACCAGAAGAGGTCCCAGGTAATTCATCAGGAGATTGAGGTTTTCTGCATCCTGTCAAATTAGAG